CGATGACCGGACTGTCATGTTAGCGATTTTCGGTGAAAATTGATCGAAATGACTACTTAGTTTAGGACTAAATAGACATCCGTACAATAAGTTTAGGACTGATTGGGTAATTTTTTCCTTTTTGTTTTTTTGGTCTATTCAATGTGATTTTCGACTCTGAGGTAAATATGACCATTATTAATTTAGGAAATGCATTCCGAGGTTTTTCTTTTTTGGTTATTTTAACTCATCGTTGACAAAGAGTGAGCCGAAAAAAGAAATCCACAGACACAGCAGAGTTGAACCCTCATAGTTAATTTACTTTTCCATCAATCTTCCCTAATTTTCTGGCAAAAGAATAGCCAAGAAAATAACAAAAAATACACACCTCTACAAATTTTTCTTTAAGAGAAAGGCTTGGAGGCCTTCTATTAGACAACACATTCTCAGGCTCTTCGAGCAATTACGTACGTGATTTTAGGTTTGATTGCTTTCGCTAAAAAGGACCGGCTAAAGTTAAACGATATTCCGCTATCGATTCTCATGTAACATGATTTCGACTCGAGAGCATCACTCTAGAAAAATTTCGCTTTACATCGACCGCGAACCTCATGTTCTGGCCATTCGGTCCCAGTTCTTGCTATTCAAATTTCTCTACAAGCAACACTTTTGGCCTCTACGGCAAAGATGAGAAGGCTAGAACACAACCCTTGAGTCCTATCGACTCTAATGCTTTCGCGTCTGATCGGTTGTCGGAGGACTATTTCTCTGCTCGATTTTGTGCATTTGAAGATGACGAGTGATGAGCGTTTTGCTGGGTTGAATAATGCATCCAAGACTTGAGCACATCATATGCTGTGAACCCAATGGCCACTGAAGGCACCACCTACAAAATATCCCCCAAACATATGCATATGAACATTCAGCTCGAAACTATATTATTCATCGCAGGTACATATGTCTTCACACTATAAAAGTCTGCGTGGACGGATTGATGTAACGAGAGCTTGCCTTGATGTAATTGATGCTTAAACCGGCATATAATTGTCTCCACCCTTGATTGCGAACAATGTTCGAAAGCCCCTCTACAGTGTTCTTGGACCGGGTATTGCCCAGTACCACATTCTCAGCCTGAAAATTTGAATGCAGCAAACATTGTTGAGCCTGATAGACAGAGTTGATGTGCATGTTGATTTGTGGGTTAGTTTTTCTTTTTTCCCTATTTTCTTGACAAGGAGATGGAGACATCAAACATTGAGCATTTTATCACGGATTGGTTGTTGTCGATGTCAGAGTTACCTGCATTTGTCGCCTCACGACGTCCAACGGATACGTGAATGTCTGCCCGAACAACCCTGCCAAAGCGCCACAGGAGAGGTGCATCGCGATCGAAGCTTGACAATCCTCAGGAATCTTGAGCTTGAGCTCCTTGTAGATGTAGTACTTCAAGCCGGCATACGGAAGAATCCCAATCAATGTTGGACCTGCATGGCACATCATATGAGAAACGCGAAATGATTAGGACGACCGATCATGTCTCGTGGTGACTACCTTGTCACAGGGATGTACCTATGCCTCGATAGAAAGCGCGCACTCCGCCTTCTCGATAGACGTCCCTGAAGATATCGCGAAGCCTCTGGTGTCGAGGTCGAGAATGAGGATTTTCACTAGAATATGAACCCATCACCTGGCCAAACAGAGCAAATAAATTTGCCAGGAAAATTTGTTACAGATAACGTTCATGGTAAGGTTTTGAAATCTGCTCGACCCCATGACAGGTTCGATGATATGAAGAGGACCCGAAGGGAAGATACGCTCTGATTCTGCTCGAAATTGAGCCTAGCTAACAGAAATTGGACCGGATCGAGTTCTCGTGCTAAGGAGCTCGTCCTTCCCTTTTTTTTTTCCCTTCTGTCATTTGCTTGTTTTGCCTATTGCTGACCTGATAAGCGAGCTTCGTTCGAGCCAGATCCAAGGGATATGTACACAATACAGCCGTTCCTCCGGAGGCAGAGCCCGCTAGGAGGTCGATAAAAGGCCCCGTCCCGAACGAGGGACAGTTATCCAAAATCCAACCCCGGTATTGCTCATACGTCATGTACTGTAGCGCCGCATACGGGACTACCCGGATGACGCTCGCCCCGTTTCCTCTACATTTATTATGGAGAATTATAAATACCATGTAGAATGACTGAATGAACAGAGTTTCAAGAAAAATCACATGAAACAGAGAAATGCGCCTCACTTGTATAGCCCTTGAACACCTTCATGCCCGAGGATCTTCTTAAAGGACTCGTACACACCAATGGAATGAAATCCTTCAGTTCTGGTCTAAACACAAAACAAACATTATCATCATACAAGGAATTAAACTTCCCAAGAGAATTGAAGGGACACTGATCGGTTCATTATGTTCATCTTATGTTGATTCTTATCCTTTTCCACCCCAAGAGACACCTTGAATGGAAAAACAAGCCACTAAAATCTTGTCCTTGGTACACATTGCAATATTAAACACCCCAAAGAACCAGAAGAAGCTTATTCCAGGAAAATAAATGAATATATCAAGAAGTACCTGTAAGAGAATTTTAATTCTTTCAAGGGGTGCAACAGCAGTCTTGGCAAAAGCACCAGCAGCACCTCCAGCAATCAATTCCCTCACACAAACTGGCAAAGCATCAACAAAGCAGACAGGAGGAGGGCGGTTGCTGCACCAGGTACGAGATTGGAACGAGGTTGTTGTAAGCTAAAAGAGAGGGAGAGAAAAGGGGGAAGATGAAGCGTGAAGTCGGCTGGTTAGAGAGGGGGGGAGGAAGAAAGCGAGACGTCTTCTCTTTCTTTCTTTTGTTTGGGCCCCTTGTTGGGGTTCTTTACCACTTCTTCCCCCTCTTAACATGTTGTTTGAATTGGGATCTTCCGCTTTGTTCGATTTGCACGATCAAATTTCCATCACGGGCCTTTAGACCTTACTCAGTTCCGTCTACTTCCTAGCATAAGCCCTCATGAAGAGAATCAAGAACCCCTCCTTATCGATCTTTGCCAGGCTCTAATCAAGGTCGTCACCCTACCGATCGAAAATTGCCGGAGTTGTGAGATGTATGCCACACGATGGCAACGAGCCATGTTTTTTGATAATGGTCAGGATTGGGTAATGGGCTCTCTCTTTCTCTTAAGCGTAGGCGACGACATTAGTATCGATTGTGGATCAAGGTTTCGCGATTTGTTGAGTGAGCAATCTATGCGATGTTTCGCGAGCACCTAATAATCTCTCATCCAACCGGGCCTCTGGAAGGACGACAATGGGGGTTACCCAACAGCTTGGGCTTTCACCGTGAGCCTCTACTGTTGGCACTGGTAGATTTGCTTTTTAACTGGAGGCCCATCTCACTCCATTTTCTGAATTTTTATGCCCAGCATTTTTCACACCTTCATGCTGGAAAATGGTATGTCAAACGGAAAATTCTGGGGAAAAAACAGGAAATATTATATCATTTTAGGCCTAATTTCAAAAAAAAACACCAACTTTCACTTAAATCCAAAATCTGGCCCGAACAATTTGAAAATTTCACATCACGGGAACAAATTTGAGATTAGAGTAAAAGATGGTACTTTTTATTAAGAAAAAAGAAGTTCGAATCAAAATTATCACTCAAGATAAAGTTTATGTTTTTTTTTTTTGAATTACTCCTATCATTTTATGTTTGCCAAAAAATGCCACATGCATATGTCAGTGGGCTTTTCCCAATTATTCCTTTATTTATGGAAATCTTCAATTGGCGATCATCTGACAGAGATGCTCTGGTGATCCTCCCGACCTGCTAAAATCTCTCATTTGATACGACCTTATGCCGCTCCCCATCCCCAAACTGCTTCGCCACATCTTTTGCCTACAGGCACCTCAAAACTATTTTGTCCAACAACATCAAGCCATCCGTTCTTTCGTACCTCTTTCTTCGAAATAAGAGAGCAGGCATGGCTGACCCAAATTGCGAAAGCAATCGATTTTAATTTGTCCATGTCGTTTCGGCGCTTTTTTTCTAATCGAATTTCCATCCCTTTAATTTATCCGATCAAGTAACCGTTCTACTTGCACAAATTTTCTAATCAGGTCCCTCCAACGTCAAATCCGATCAAAATTCAATTGAAGTACTCTGTCAGATGATGTCGTAATGTGAATGGAAAATATCGTGAGCATCCACATTGGCTAAATTTAATCCACATCATACTTTAGCAGGGTTTATATTATTAAAATTTTCCACTCACGTCCACACGGTGACGTGACATACGCATATTTCATCCGCATCATATTTTGGTGTCGAACGATCGATGACCAAGTGTTGACTGAGTGTAGGGGGATTTCGGGCTGGGAGCTTCGATTGAAAAAATTTAGAAAAATAAAAGGATGTAATGGACCAATCAAAAGCATATTTATTTACTGCGAAAGTAAGGTGGCATTTTCGAACAAAAAAAAAAAGTAAGGTGGCATCATCTATTGAGTTGCTTTACCCCTACCAGTCTGTGAGAAAAAAAAAAAGTCGACCCCACAATTGTATGATTGCATCATCAAAAATTGAAATCGCCATCTTTGGTTTTATTAACTAACTCCATCATATGAAAGGCCCTGCAGTTTCTGACCTATCTCGGAGATCTGATTCTCTTTTCTTGAGCAAGAGGAGGGTGGAGGGAATAAATGGTGTCTGCAACTTTTGATCTCTTTCTTCCTGTTCTAGGAGTAAGGCCGCAGCCATCAGATAAAAAGGAGTCGTCCCATTTCACCATTTCTAAACTCCACGGCACAAAACAACAGCTAATAAGAATTGCTTTCTTTCAGAGATTTATTGGTTATTCATGAGGTTAACTCCTGCAGGGAGCTTCTCAGAAAAAGATTCTTCCATGGAACAGTATCTTTAAGACTGATCACAGAGAGAGAGAGAGAGAGAGAGAGAGAGTAGTTGACTCGCCTTGTGTTGAAAGGAAAAATATTTGATTTCTTCTAGGGAGAGAGAGGGAGAGAGAGAGAGAGAGAGAGAGAGAGCTGATTTCACAATCTTTTGAGTTGTCCAATGGAGGAGGAGGAACTGATAGCTCCCCCGGCCTTTTCTTCCCAGCTATGTAAGCTAGAGCGACTTTGCTTGTAGAAGGAAAGAAGATATCTCCACTCCAACCCACCAATGGCAGAGAAGCAGGTTCAGAGAGAAAAACACTACAAGGAAAAATATATTTGACATGGGAAACTTTTGATTGCTTTTCGGGAACTGGGCTCTTTTGACGACTTCCGTTGTAGATATATATACTCTGTCGATCGTCATCATCCGTCTGCCTTCCGCATCCGCATCGAAGCCGACCCTTTTGCTAATCATCATCTTCATCATCGCTGGCCGAAGCAAGGGAAAGAAAAGATCAGAAATTCCCATCATTGGAGATCGAGACTGAGAGAGCGAGAGTGGAGTAGAGAGTAGGGATGATGATGAAGGGAAGTTGTGTGGCGCTCGTGTTGGTTCTGCAGTTGCTGAGTGGGGTCTTCGCAAGAAGCTCGATCTTTGCACGTAATGGTGATGATCGTCACGGTGCTGCTCTTCATCAAACTGGTTAGCTAACTTCGCCTACGCCTCACTCTTTGCTTTGCGATGAAACCCAGTTCACATGTCATGGTCATCTCTTTAGTGAGATCTAGTTGCCCCGACACATCTTCTTCATCCTGAATCGAATTCTCGTATCCACCATAGACGCGAGCATTACTGACCCGTCTTACCATATGTTCAATAATGGCCGAGCAGAGACCGATCCGGAGATACTTCCATCTTCAAAGCACCCAGGGACCTTATCAGACAGAGCGCAAGAGAGGAGCAGTGAACAAGAAGAAGAAGAAGATAGGAATCAAATGGGAGCGAGCAAGATCGGGTCGAGCCCGCCGAGGTGCAAACACAAGTGCTACGGTTGCACGCCCTGCGAAGCCACACAAGTCCCGGCCACCCACAACGAGCACGCCCATGTCAGGGTCCAATACACCAACTACGAGCCCGAGGGTTGGAAGTGCAAGTGCGGCCCTTCCCTGTATATCCCTTGACCCCTCCATAGAGAAAAAAACACGGAGATTTCTCCATTTTCTTTGCTTCAAAGTTGGCGTAATTGCTTGCGTACTGATATTCTAGGCTTGTGGAGCTGACCTGAGGATGATCATTGGTTCTGTCATCTGAACCGACTTATGTCTAAAGAGCTGAAAGTTTGCAAGCGACCTTGAGTTGGTAGTTTCGACATGTTTCTTGCTTTCAATTGAATGTGGTTTGCGACTCTGAGGTAAATATAACCATTATAAATTTGAAATTGCAATCTCGGATCCAGCCACAAGTGAACTCATTCGATTGATTACTACTAACATGAAGTTGCAATGTTCAGTCGGCCTCCCTCCCTCCCTCCCTCTCTCTCTCTCTCTCTATTTGTTGTGCTTCGGCGCCATGCTATTAGGGTCATGACTCAATTGCACTTTCATGACGTGTTTTAGGACTTCCAGTGAACATATCTTTTTTTTTTTTTAAGGGGAAGGCTTGGAGGCCTTTTATTAATATTGAAGGGAGTTAGATCTGATCGTTGTGCAAATGACGGCACATTCTCACATTCTTGTAGCAATTACGTACGTGATTTCAGGTTTCATTGCTTTCGCTAAAAAGTAAAGAGGACGAGCTAAAGATCAAATGGCCGTTAAAAGAATTAGAAATAGCAATGTCGGATCCACCCACAAGTAAACTCCTTTGATCGAGAAAATATACCTATCTGAAGTATGAACCAGCTCGCGTAACCGAGAGAGAAAATATTGGATAGATACAATGATGTGATGTATTGACCAGAACTACTGAACCTGTACACCTTAATGTTACCCAGAATGAGTCACAATTGCCAGCAATTCGAAGGATTCACCCTCCGTTGCCGTGCTTTGGTGCCACACCGCAATTCGTGCAGCGACGGATCAGCTTTAGCCGGATATCGTTGTGCCACGTCGGGAGGCATCGGAGAGAAGAAGCCACCGGGTCAGCTCGCGCTGGTCCATTAGCTCCTGTAAGATTCGGTGAAGTGTTCAAAATGGGGTTGGTGTTGAAGGAGAAAAGAATTTTAACACTAACATGAAAAGAAGGAAAGAAAAGAAGAAACGGAAATAAATATGAAAATTCAAAAAACTAAGCAAAACGGCTAATTTTGTCTGAAATTGTTCATGCCGAGTTATTGGCCGTGACACTTAGGACGGCTAAGGAAAACTTGACTGTCATGTCAGAAATTTCAAGCGAGATCTGACCGAGAGGACCTGACTGCATTTTCAATCGAAGGTTTAGAACTATATTGATTCGATAGAAAATTTTAAAACTGAATTTATATCCGTTTAATATGTTTAGGATTGGTTGTGCAGTTCTTCTCCTGTGGGGGTATGGTACCTTTGAGATTAGGATGAAGGAATTTGTCCATTTAGTAACTTTACCTGTAATATCCTGAAAATTCGACACATTTTGGTTAGGGGTGAGCAACTTGGACCGCCCAAACCGAGATCGGACCAGACCGGACCGGACCAATGAGTTTGGTCCGGTTCTCGGGACTATCGGTCCGATTCCCGGTTCCTAAAAGCGGAACCGGTTTCCGGGCGGTCCGGTTCTCGGTTCCAAGGGGGAACCGGACCGGACCAGACCTACTATTTAATATATATTTTTATTATTTTTTTCTTTAAAAAAATTAATAAAATATGAACTAAACTCTAAGTGAACTTCATTATCATAAATTCACTGATAAAAAATAGTAAAATGTGAATTAAACCCTAAGTGAACTTCATTGACATAAATTTATTGACAAAAATTAGTAAAATGTGAACCAAACCTTAAGTGTTTGACAAAAAAAAAACCCTAAACTCTAAGTAACCGGTTCCATTGGACCGGACCGGAATCGGACCGAACCGGGAACCGCTCACTCCTAATTTTGGTGATATATGAAATGGTGATTTCATCGATTGCTCTATTAGTAATTCTCGCTCTGGCCTGAAGATACTAACCAAAGGGGAAAGGCTACTGAGGATTTATTTCTAAAAGCCGCCCGTTAGTTTGAGATTTATTATAATTGCGATTGATCGATTTCAGCCACGAATTACGATCCGATTTTAGTGTCGAATCTTCAAGGATTTACGGATCGAACCATAGGACGTCGCCTCGTAATATTACGAGTTTGCTTACGAAAGTTTCAAAAATTGGACATAGTGAGACACGTGTCAATCAAGGAAGAATTTGGGGACATTTTATTTTTCCTCTCTCTCTCTCTCTTCCCTTTTTCCTCGCCGGCTTCCCCCCCATGCGTCTGACCTCCCCCACCAGCCCCCACCAACTCCCCATCATTTCCTCCTTTCTTCTTTTTCTTTTTTCTTCTTCTTTTCTTTTCTTCTCTTCTACTTCTTCTTCGTGGGTTCTGCTTCTGTCCGTGCTTCTGCTTCTCCTTCGGCTTCTTCACTTGCTGCCACCGCCGGCTTGTCCTCGCCTGAACCAGCCGCTCGCCGCGCGCCGCCTTCTCGCCGCCGAGCCGCCACCACCTCAGCTCGACCCCAACCAAGCAGCTCCTCCCGTCAGCCACCCGTCGCTGGCCGTTTCAGCCGGGTGCGAGAAACGCCCCTCGCCGGACAGTGCCGCTCCTCCCCGCCGTGAACCACCTCCATCCCAGCTCTCCCCCTGGCCGAGCGGCACCGCCCTAGCTGCCCCGAAGTCTCTCGTCGCCGGCTGGTTTTGCTGGACGCCAGGCGTCCATCGTCGGTCTTGCCCTTCCGTCCATCACCGTCGCTCGCCGCCGCTGTCCCAGCTACCAAGACCACCATCACCAGCCGCCCTTCCGCCCTTGAACCAGCTCCGAGCAGCCCTGAACCACCACACCAGCAGCTCGCTCCTTCGCCGCGCCCGAACCGCCGCCGTTCGTCGCTTGCCGTGCCGAGCCGGAAACCACCGCGGACCGCCCCCGTCGTCGCCGTCGTCCTCGTGTCGTCGCCGTAGTTAGGCGAATAAGTGAACCCCTAATCCCTCATTTAGGGTGTTAAACTTGCTTAGGGTAGTTTAGATTAAAATTAACGTTAAGTTAATGATTATTTAAGTAGGATTAGATGGTAGGTTATCGGTAAATTATTTGAAAATTATTTGGTGATAGGCTATTGTTAGATGATAAGTTATCGATAGAAATGGTGATAAGATATCGGTGATGGAATGATATGCTATTAGTGATTGATGATAAGTTATTACTATTTTGATTGATAAGTTATTTTTAATTTGGGTGATAAGCTATCGATGCGTGTGGGCGATAAGTTATCGTGAATGCAGTGATAAATTATCGATTATTTTATTATTATTATTTATTTTATTAAGTAAAAATGTTTTTCGGAATTAAATATTATTATTTTATTATTTATTATTTTATTTAAAATATATTTTTTTATTCCGAAAAATAAATATTAGTATTTCGAATGATTTTTAATACCGAATTGTGATCGTTTATGTTTGGATGGTGATTCCGAAGTTGGATTTCACTGTATAAATTAGCGTATTTAGCTAAATGATTTGATTAATTATTTTCGGAATTTAAATGTTATTTTGTTATTAAATAAATAATTTTCGGATTTTAAATATTTAATATTTTATTATTAAATAATTAATTTCCGAAATTAAAAATTGATATTTTCGGATAATTTCTAACGTCAAATTGTAATTTTTATGCTTGCATTATGATGCTTATGCTATGAATTGTCGTGTTAATTAGTTCGTATAGCTAAATGATTTTTATAACTATTTTCAATAAATGATTTCGAGTTTTCGAAAATGAATTATTTTCATCGCTATGTTTACATAATGAATTTGATGCCTTGAGAAGTAAAGTATGTTTTGAAATGATGATTTGTTTACAAAGTTGAGCGATTGTTTGCATATGTGATCACGTGAAATTGTATGTGGCATTATCATGAGCACAGTCCATGTATGCATTGGCTAACTGAAAAGATAATAATTGGCCTGAATGCTCATGTGATCACATGTTGGAGCCATCTTGCTGTGTATCGCTTGACGATGCTCGGTTTATCGAGGTCTGCTGCGTATCGCGCTCGGTTTATCGGATGCCTGGAGGTTATCTGGAATGCCGATACTCCGGATGCCAGATCGCGGCCCGAGGGCGGATCCGATGCTCCTTACGGGATACCATCATCCTGTGTATCGTTTGATGTTGCCGTATTGGAATGTCGTCATCCTGTGTATCGTTTGACGTTGCCGTGCCCGATGGGGCGGGACGATGCCCGGTTATGCCGGAGGACTACCATCTCGCTGCGTATCGCTTGATGTGTAGTGGCCCAGAGGGATCGTAATAAATGGAACACGTATGTTGCATGGTGTTTGATTATGGGGTGAATAATGCTATGCATGGTATGGGACGTGCCCAAGTAGTTTTACCTTATAATCAAAACACGCGCGAGTATGGATACATGATGCATGAGCAATCTCTTTATGTGTTCCAAGTATGTGATTTGCTTAATGCATTGTTGTGACATTTATTGATTACTGTCATGCATTATATGTGTGCCAAAGCAGGGTAAGGATGCCTATGGTTGATTAATGACTTGTGTCCAGTGCGTGGTCGCGTGATTAGGGACCCCCGTGTGAGTTAGCCTTCTAAACGGGGCTTAGGCCGTTAACTTATTGAGACTTTCGTCTCATTTGTTGTTGTTAATCATTTTTCAGGCCCTTAGCATGTTGATGCACCCAGTTTGGTTCAGGGTGTCTGGAAGCTGGCTTTTTGAGATCGACCTGTTGGTGAAGTAGATTGATCCCAGCCTAATATCTTTTTGTTGGCTTTTGTGGTGATGCCTGAAGTGGGCCTGTAAAAATGTTCCCAGGGGTTAATCAAGTGAATATCAAGATGGTGTTTTGGTTTGGCTGTATGATTTGTTTTCCTATCTATCCCTATTTATTGTAGTTGTCCGGGTGATTGTTGTTATCGCTTCCGCATGCGTAATTAAAAGATAAAATGAAGGGTCGGCGACGAGTCCTGGGACATCGCATTGTGACAACCATAGTGGGATATTGCACGTCCGTAGGGTTCAGGGCGTGACGTTACCAAAATGCGAAAATAAAAGTAGTGACAAGCAAACTTCAGAATTGGCAATGCTGAAGAACTTGCACTTACACCCCTTGAAAGATCCAATACACACAAGTTACATTATTCTACTAAATGTTTTGGATAATTCTTGCTACGCACATCAAGCGTCGACACACGTCCTCGAATTACCGCACGCTAGGATGCCGAATCCGAAAGCTATACATCCTTACTCACCCACCAGAGCAACAGTATTGTCCCTGCCTGATTGAACATAGCTTTAGGAACAGAGTTCAATTCCTGACCTTGGATCATTTGGGAACGAAGCAACGGCCAGCCATTCCTAGTCAATCTGCAGAAACCAAGCTCTCCTTTGATTAAGATTTCCAATAGCTAATTGATTGCAATTTGTCTCCATGACCATCATACGAATGAAAAGGAAAAAAACTAAGAGTATGTGTGCACCACAGGCCTTGTGCTAGTTTAAATATGTACACATACAGATGTGGAACAATGGATCAACTGTCAACTTAAGGGAAAAAGAATGCTCGTTTCTCTCTTCAATTATAGATTTTACCTGTTCGCTTCCATTTGCACAAACGACACTAAACGATAACAACTATATATAAGCTGTTGGTAGTCCATCTTGTCCATCTAAAGCCAATTTAAAGAGCTTCTCCCTAATATGATGAAGCTGATCTGCAACTCGGCTGATGCTCATCCGACTTCCAGGCACTTCATATGAACAAGCAACTCCAATTTTGAACACCATAATCAAACACTCTTGAAATATGTCTTCACTTTGGGAAAGCTGATGCCAAGAACTATAGGGGCCTAAATTGCTTTCTCTTTCTTGAAGCAGAAATTTGTCCGTAATTTCGAGCATTCGTTCAGGCAATGCTTCCGCGACAAAATTATGAAGAGTGAAATTGTCTCTGAATATGTCATTGGTGGGATTCAACCCTGTGAACAATTCTAGTAAGAGAATGCCGTAACTATAGACGTCACCTTCTCTTGAAACCTCGCATCCCATTACATATTCTGCCACACATTTAGATCGTGGTGTAGGTCAAATTGGAGTGCAAATTATCAAATCAAAATGCAATGTGTATAAGACTATAAGAGTTATCATAAGCTGCCAAACTTCAAACAAGAAACCCATCAATAACCTTTATAGGTGAATAAATTTTCTTGGTTTTAGAGAGAGAGAGGGAGAGAGAGATTACCTGGTGGAGCATAACCAATTGTCCCTCTAAAACCTATCGAGCTCATCTGATTTGCAATGGTGTCGGGGGATGATCCAAGAAGGAATTTCGCCAATCCAAAGTCGCCAACATGTGCAACCATCTCAGCGTTTAAGAGGATATTGCTTGGCTTTATATCACAATGAACGATTGGGAAGTGGCATTGGTGATGAAGATAATCCAATGCAGAAGCAACATCAATAGCAATATTTATCCTCCGAATGAAATTCAACTTTTTCGGGAGCTCATTTTGATGATATGATGCTGCGTTTGGCTGAAGCCATCGTTCCAAGCTTCCATTTTCCATGAATTCATAGACCAAGGCCTTAAAATCATTTCCTTGATAATCACTACCTGAGCAAACTGTTAGTATCTTCAAAAGATTGCGATGTTTGATGTTCGTTAATGCCTCGCACTCGACTATGAAGCTCTTCAGAGCACCGTGACGGACCAAATGAAGCACCTTCACGGCAATACTAGTTCCATTGTCCTCAAGTATCCCCCTGTAAACAGAACCAAAGCTTCCAATACCGATCAAATTTGTTAAAGAAAAACCTTCGGTTGCTCTCAAGAGTGTTCCATAAGATACGTTCGGATGTGAATCATTCATCGAACTTGAAACCGGTTCATTTACTTTCTTCTTCAACCAACAAACATATATAAAAGTTAGAACAAGAGCTATTCCAAGAACTCCGAAAATAATTGAAGTGGGCAATATCACTATATTGATCCTTTTGCTCTTGGAGCTTTTGGAGATGCAGTTTGGGAGGTGAAATTCTGGCAGTCCGCCGCAGAGCTCATTATTCCCAATAATAGAAGTACCAGTAACATTCTCAAAGACTCCTCCACGTGGTAACATGCCTTCAAATTTATTGTACGATAAATTTAGAAGTTTCAAGGAATGAAATACCTCTAAGAATGCTGGAATTTGACTCGATAAATTATTGCGTGAAAGATCGAGTTCTTCAATGCCTCCTAACCATCTGATTGATTGAGGAATGGGCCCGTGAAATAAGTTGCCCCCCATCCTCAATGATGTCAATGCAGTGCAGTCACCCAAACTACTTGGGATTTCACCTACCAACAAATTGTCTGAGATGTCCAACGCAGTCAAAGCTCTCAAGTTGCCAACTTCTGTGGGTAGAACCCCGTTTAGATGGTTATGAGACAAGTTCAGAAGAATTGTTAATGATGAGAGACCTATAAGCTGTGGGGGTATGGCACCACCGAGATTGTTATTAGATAGAACAAGCAGATCAAGAGACTGGCAATTTGATAGATGCGACGGAATTTGCCCATGAAAGTTGTTCCCACCAAGATGTAGTTGAATCAACTTGGTTAGATTTCCTAAAGAAGATGGAATAGTCCCTCCCAGGTTGTTATCACCCAAAATCAGTACTGCCAGATTTTGTAGATTTCCCAAATTTGAGGGGACAATACCTGAAAACTGGTTGAGATACATCAATAACACGCTCAGGTTGACCAAATTCCCAATTTCTTTTGGAATTTCACCAGATATCTGGTTCTGACTCATATCAAGCACTGTAAGAGTAGTGGATAAATTACCTATGCATTTGGGTAACACGGCACGAAACTTGTTCCTGCCAATAAGCACACTCCGCAATTTGGTGCTATTAGTTAATGAGCAAAGGAAGCTCAAGTCTTCAAGTTTTCCATTTCCAAGCTGATTAGCCGAAATTTGAAGCATTCCAAGCTCATACAAATTTTCCAAAGATGGTACTTTCCCGGAAAATCTGTTAACATTAAGCGTTAGATGATTTAGCTTTGTGGAATTCGATATCGATGGAGGAATCGGCCCCTCAAGTTGGTTCGCGGCAACACTAAAAAATTCAAGATCTGGGAGATTGATGCCTATGCTCGCAGGAAGAGTCCCTTGTATCCGGTTGTTTCCACCATCAAACACATGTAGCGTAGAAAGATTGAGTAGCGAAGATGGAATAGTACCTGACAATATGTTTCCTCCAAAGGCAATGACTTGCAAGTTCGTCAGGTGGCCTAGAACTTGGGGAATGCTCCCGCCCAAGTTGTTCAGGGTTAAATATAGTCCCTCTAGTGACGATAAGTTGCCAATGGAGGAAGGCACACTCCCAGTGAGATGATTATGATACAAAATTAAAACCCGTAGCTTGGATAATGAACCGACTTCCGCAGGAATTTCTCCGGTCAGTTGGTTATATGGAAGGAAGAGGCTGACAAGATTAGAGCAAGATGATATGTTTTTGGGAATTTCACCGATCAATGAATTGTTGTCTAGTCGTAATTCACGAAGGCGTCGCAGCTGGCCCACTTGCGGAGGGACTTCATGATCGAGACTGTTGTTTTGGAGCCACATTTGCCTTAGGAAGCTGAGATTCCCAATATGAGGAGAGATTGATCCAGAGAGTCCTTGTGATTGCAAGTCTAGGACTGTGACCCTCCGATGTCTTTGGCCGCACGAAATGCCATACCACTGACAAAATCCAATGGTATTGTTCCATGAGTTGAGCACGCCGAAAGGATCTTCCGTTATGCCGGCCTTAAATGCGAGCAGAGCGAGTCTGTCTGTTTCGTTGGTGGTGGAGGAGACTTGATTAAAGCACAGTGCGAGAGCAATACCAAGAAGCAAGTAGCACGACAGAAACTTTGCAGAACTAATGCTTACGAGTTTCATGACTCAAAGCCCAAGGAAGCCGATAGAAATGAAAGGAAGGCAAGAAGAAACAAGAGGAAGGATCGGTGCTAACGGACGATGTTCGGGACAACTTTTTGAAGCACTTCTATTCTTGTTCCCCCTCACTAATTTTTCCTGCAACAAAGTCAGGACCATGAGTACATCACTCAGTGCCTCAATGGTAAAATAAAGAGATGGTTGTGATAAATGGTGTTGACTCAGTAGTCATTGAACAGCGAAGCCGGCCATTCCCATCTTCCACTATGGGCTCACGGTCAAAAGACCACTTTATTACACGCAAGAAGGCATTCATAAAGATGCCGTATTTGTTAAGTTCATATTGGTGGAACAAGACCAGGTCAGGTCAGGAGAGTAAGAATACCACATTTGAAACAAAGCACACGACTCATCATTGAAAAATGGAAAATATCGCAGACTAATGTCATCTGAGCTCAATATCGGAGACTAATGTCATCTGAGCTCAATTAGTGTTGGCGTGATTGGTGCTGGTCCTCCTATTTGGGAGGTTGGCGTCATTGGTGTTGGTCCTCCTATTTGGGAGGTTGGCGTCATTGGTGGTGGTCCTCCCATTTGGGAGGTTGGCGTGATTGGTGCTGGTCCTCCTATTTGGGAAGAAATTATGTAGATTTGTTTGATTTCTGTAATTTTGGGGAATTGCCTATTTTGACTTTAGGTTTTCTCATTGTCTTCCTTTCCTATACTTCATCAATAAAAATGGCAGTCCCTCTCTCAAAGGCAATACAACGAAAAACTTTGAAAGAGGATTACCCGAGGACGTAGGCACATTGCCGAACTTCGTTAAATCGTGTCTTCTTATGTAATTTCTTCAATTAGTCAGTCAAGAGTCCTTATAAAATGGCTAAGGAAAAGGAGTTTCCTACAGTTTGATATAACATTTGAAAGGCCAACAGAAAAATAGGATGAGATTAGCATTGCTGAGGAAGCGCATATGATCATCAACTACAGAAAAAACAGAAAAGTAGCAAGTTTGCATGATCACAGCCCTTGTGACTTGACATCTCTGACGACGAGAGGTTGAACCTTACGCAGCAACAGCCATTGTGACTCGACATCTTTTCTACAGAGCCGGTGTAATTGCTCGCGTTTTGATATTCTAGGCTTGTGGAGCTCACCTGAGGATGATCATTGGTTTTGTCGTTTGAGCCTACTCGTGTATGAAGAGTCATCTTTTTTTGGTCGAAATATGAAGAGCAATCTTGAGTTGGAAGTTTTTGACCCGTTTCTTGCTTTCAAATCGAGGAAGCTGTCCAATCAGTTTTGAACCTATTGTACGGATTTCAATTCAGTTCTAAACTTTTTAATTTTATCAATTTAGTTATAAACATTTTTACGCAATTCCAATATAGTCCTTCTAGTCAATTTTCATCGGAAATCGTTGACATGACGGTGTGCCACGGCCGGCGATGACCAAACTATCATGTTGGCGATTTTCGGCGAAAATTGATCGAAATGACTACTTAGTTTAGGACTAAATGGACATCCGTACAATAATTTTATGATTGATTGAGTAATTTTTTCCTTTTTTTTTTGGTCTATTCAATGTGATTTTCGACTCTGAGGTAAATATGACCATTATTAATTTAGGAAATGCATTCCAAGGTTTTTTTTTATTTTTTTGGTTATTTAACTCATCGTTGACAAAGAGTGAGCCAAAAAAAGAAATCCACAGATACGGCACAGTTGAACTCTCATAGTTAAATTACTTTTCCATCAATCTTCCCTAATTTTCTGGCAAAAGAATAGCCAAGAAAATAACAAAAAATACACACCTCTACAAATTTTTCTTTAAGAGAAAGGCTTGGAGGCCTTCTGTTAGACAACACATTCTCAGGCTCTTCGAGCAATTACATACGTGATTTTAGGTTTGATTTGCTTTCGCTAAAAAGGACTGGCTAAAGATAAACGATATTCTGATATCGATTCTCACGTAACATGATTTCGACTCGAGAGCATCACTCTCGAAAAATTTCGCTTTACATCGACCGCGAACCCCATGTTCCGGCCATTCGGTCCCGGTTCTTGCTATTCAAATTTCTCTATGAGCAACACATTTGACCTCTACGGCAAACATGAGAAGGCTAGAACACAACCCTTGAGTCCTATCGACTCTAATGCTTTCGCGTCTGATCGGTCGTCGGAGGACTATTTCTCTGCTCGATTTTGTGCATTTGAAGATGACGAGTGATGAGCGTTTTGCTGGGTTGAATAATGCATCCAAGACTTGAGCACATCATATGCTGTGAACCCAATGGCCACTGAAGGCACCACCTGCAAAATATCCCCCAAACATATGCATATGAACATTCAGCTCGAAACTATACTATTCATCGCAGGTACATATGTCTTCATACTATAAAAGTCTGCGTGGACGGATTGATGTAACGAGAGCTTGCCTTGATGTAATTGATGCTTAAACCGGCATATAATTGTCTCCACCCTTGATTGCGAACAATGTTCGAAAGCCCCTCTACAGTGTTCTTGGACCGGGTATTGCCCAGTACCACATTCTCAGCCTGAAAATTTGAATGCAGCAAACATTGTTGAGCCTGATAGACAGAGTTGATGTGTTTGTTGCTTTGTGGGTTAGTTTTTCCTTTTTCCCTATTTTCTTGACATGGAAATGGAGACATCAAACATTGAGCATTTTATCACAGATTGGTTGTTGTCGAGTCAGAGTTACCTGCATTTGTCGCCTCACGACGTCCAACGGATACGTGAATGTCTGCCCGAACAACCCCGCCAAAGCGCCACAGGAGAGGCGCATCGCGATTGAATCTTGACGATCCTCCGGAATCTTGAGCTTGAGCTCCTCGTAGATGTAGTACTTCAAGCCGGCATACGGAAGAATCCCAACCAATGTTGGACCTGCATGGCACATCATATGAGAAACACAAAATGATTAGGACGACCGATCATGTCTCGTAGTGACTACCTTGTCACGGGGATGTACCTATGCCTCGATAGAAAGCACGCACTCCGCCTTCTCGATAGACGTCCCTGAAGATATCGCGAAGCCCCTGGTGTCGAGGTTGAGAATGAGGATTTTCACTAGAATATGAACCCGTCACCTGGCCAAACAGAGCAAATAAATTTGCCAGGAAAACTTGTTACAGATAAGGTTCATGCAAAGGTCTTGAAATCTGCTCGACCCCATGACAGGTTCGATGATACAAAGAGGACACGAAGGGAAGATATGCTCTGATTCTGCTCGAAATTGAGCCGAGTTAACAGAAATCAGAACAGATCGAGTTCCCGTGCTAAGGAGCTCGTCCTTCCCTTTTTTTCCCTTCTATCATTTGCTTGTTTTGCCTATTGCTGACCTGATAAGCGAGCTTCGTCCGAGCCAGATCCAAGGGATATGTACACAATACAGCCGTTCCTCCGGAGGCAGAGCCCGCCAGGAGGTCAATAAAGGGCCCCGTCCCGAACGAGGGACAGTTATCCAAAATCCAACCCCGGTATTGCTCGTACGTCATGTACTGCAGCGCCGCATACGGGACTACCCGGATGACACTCGCGCCATTTCCTCTACATGGTTTTTGGAAGAATCATAAATACCACGTAGAATGAACATAGTTTCAAGAAAAATCACATGAAACAGAGGGGATGGGCCTCACTTGTATAGCCCTAGAACACCTTCATGCCTGAGGATCTTCTTAAAGGACTCATACACACCAATGGAATGAAATCCTTCAGTTCTGGTCTAAACACAAAACAAACATATTAAACTTCCCAAGAGAATTGAAGGGACACTGATCGGTTCATTATGTTCATCTCATGTTGATTCTTATCTTCCCCCCACCCCGAGCCCCGCCCCGCCCCGCCCCACACCCCCCCCCCCCCCAAAGACACCTTGAATGGAAAAACAAGCCACTAAAATTTGTCCTTACCCAAAAGTACCAGAAGAAGCATATTCCAGGCAAACAAATGAATATATCAAGAAGTACCTGTAAGAGAATTTTAATCCTTTCAAGGGGTGCAACAGCAGTCTTGGCAAAAGCACCAGCAGCACCTCCAGCAATCAATTCCCTCACACAAACTGGCAAAGCATCAACAAAGCAGTCATCCCCATTCTCAGAACAGCCATGGATGAATCTTCCCACAGGGGAAGATTCCATGTCTGTTCTTGTGGGTGACTGACAGATTCAAGAACAGGAAAAAAAAAATCTGACACGATGTTGAGGCGTTGCCTTTGTACATTTTTAGGGAAGCTCTGAATAGCAATTCTTTCTAAAAATTGAATTTTCCTCCTTTGTTCGGTTCAATCTAACTGTAGGAAGATAAATTTAGGGAGCTCGAAAAATGGGCCACAAAGGAAAATCATGAAACAGCATAGGGGTGAATTTAAAATGGGTTGGAATGGTTTCATTTACAAATTTTGATGCTCAAATTATCGCAACTGAACATGGGCTGATTCTTCGACCCAAAAAAAAAAACATGACGGCGATTAGGAAAATAAAAATAGGAACATTAAAATAAATAAGGGAAAACGAGACAATGGATCATGAACTTTTGCCCAATGTCCAACGTGGTCTCTCGACTCTTTATTTATTCAATGAGATCCCTAAATTGTAGCCCAATGTACAATATAGTCCACAAACTTTCAATTTGTGCTACTTGTTCAATTTAGTTCCCGAACTATATGAAGTGTTAGATGTTGTCATTGAATTTGTTTTAGAGGCTAAGTTGAACATGTATTAAAAATCCTTGGGCTAAAATTTTAGGATTACATTAAATAAATTAAAAGTTCATGGACCACATAGGTCCTAGTTTAGGGACTGTTCGTGTCTTTATCCCATTAAAAAAAACACAAAGTACTGCAATAAGTGGGCCTTACCTGGGCTTAGGTGATTCCAAAAGAGCAAGCCCAGACCCCACACTCGATGGGCTCAACGCGGAGCCCAGGTTCGTTTCCGCACCAAAAACGACGAGCAACGATACCAGGCACGGAGGAGCAACGAACGACCTGTCGTATCAAAACCAGATCTCCGATCTCAAAAGCGAAAAAATATGAACTCGTAATCGAGCACGAACAGTTTCCGCAGCTTCACCGCAACCCGTTTCCGATCGCAAGCGCACGCATCCATGGCGCATTTCTCC